TTCGTGGTAAGAACGGCGCGGCCGCAGGGGCCGCCGGGCTCTGCTGGGGGCGCCGGCCTCAGGCTCTCCCGAGCGGGGAGGACTTCGGACAGCAGTTCCGTCAGGGCAGCGCCTCGAGCTCCTGTTGCGGAGCACCCGCCGTTGGCAGAGGCCGAGGAGCGGCCGGAACCCGCTGCTGTCACCGCACCGGTCCTGGCTGCAAGCGGTAAATGGTGTGAAGGGGCCTCTTCGGTGAATGAGCCTGAAAGGAATGAATAAAATGAAAGATAAACTACTCTTTTTCTTCTCTGCCCACTTCTTTATATTGTGTCACGATGTTACAGACCTGTGTGGGTGACTCCGTCCTGTTTCTTGTACTGAAATAAAGTTGTATTCACTTGGGCCTTCTGGAAATTACCAATGCATGTCACATACTCAGATATTTAACTCCTCTGAATTCATGCAGATTTTGCAGAGAACAATGGATTTCAGTTGTTTAAACTCAAAACTGAATTGGGACAGGGAATGTGATTGGATTTGGGAACTCCCCCGTTTGGAACGACTGAGTATGAAAAGCTTTTGGCTGCTTTATTTGATCTGTTCAAGATGTCTGTAAAATACCCTCACTCTTTTGTTGATGCTAACTTTGCTTTGTTTATAAAAAAAGAAGAGAGCCGTGGCATTTCTTTTGTTGTGCAATTACTTTCTTTCTTTGACAGCCAGCACATTTGAATAGTTTGGTTGGCTTGATATAAATATGTATATGTATAAATCTGTATTTGTACTCAAGTGTATACTTGAGTAAAAAGCTAGTCTGTACTGGAAAGATCTCTTAACATTGAATTGCTAGAAAAGATTTGAAACTTGTTTAAACTACAGCTGAAATATTACTGGCCTTGTGTTGCTTTATTAATAAACTGCTAGTTTAGAAGGTTGTTTTTGTTGGGGTTTTTTTTGATTTTAGGTCACAATGGATATTACAAGAGGGAGCTTGGATAGAATTTCAAGGCCTGCATCTAGCTCAAGACCTTATCCTAATTGTAGATGTTTAAGTACGTCTATGGAATTATCAACACCAGAACCATGTTTGTCAAAGGCAATTCTGTTCACCTTCAGTGGGTTAGAAACTCTGGGCCTAATTCTTTGTAGTAGAATGCCAAAGAAATAAAATTCTCCATTTAGCTTCACGTGAATTTCTGGGCTCTGCAGATGTCCTAAGGGGTTATGTTGAAAATTCATGCAAATTAGTTGCTCCTTATGCATGCCTGGAATTATGTTTGTTTTGATTTATCTAAATTTGTGTTACTTTTGTGTTTGCCACAGAAAGGCCTATTCAGGACTACAACCTGGAAAACCTGGTTGTCTTTCTCATTATATTTAATCAGATTATTAAACAAATTCTATTCTGCTTTTAAACTTAAGTTGGAATGAAAATTATTTTGCATATTAGAAGAAAGCATTTGAGCAGTCCTCACATGTGGAATTTTTGTCTGCAAGGCTCTCTCAGGATATGTTTGAATCAAGTTCTAAAAAATTTTAATAGAATTCCAAGAAATACATCAACTCCAGGAACTCAACAAAGTCCATCAGAAGAAGGTGTTCACGCATCCTCTGAGAAAAATTGTTTTCAGGGATTAACTTAATTTTGAGAATGGGTTATGTGATATGGTTGTAGGGATGTAAAAACAGGGACTTGGGAATTAGAGATTGAGATTGATTTACTAAATATTAGCCCAATTGTATTGTACCTCTGTTTACTTGTCTGTAAAGTGGGATCATACCTAGATGCTTCACACAAGTATTAAATTATTTTTTATAGGTTCACAATGAAGTATTAAGGTTAACATCAGATAACTCTGAATCCAAGTTCTGACCTAAATATTGTAGGCTATTGCATGAGAATTGCAGTGTCGTGAGAATGATGAATTCAGCATAAACTTTTCAGCCCTTCAAAGACTATAAAAGCCGCTATAGTACGAGCAAGATACTGGGATGGTGCCTGGTGCAGAGTACCCACAGCGTCAGGAAATGGATGAGGCTGTTGTACGCAGACTCTTAACTGGTTCTGTATCCTCTGTTGCAACAGAAACAGCATGAACCTTTGGAATCATTTCCTAGTCTGGCAATCCCAAATCTGGCAGTCTGTGGAATGATGAGCCTGAGAAAAAAGACTCATCAGTGTGATATGCAAGAAACAGAACAAATCAAATCAAATCATCAAATCAAATCTGAACACTGTTTATTTAAGAAGGACTCTGCAATCTTGCATAGAAGCATTGTTAGCCTTTGTGATAGTATGTGATCATTGGATTATTTTTCTCTTCCTCTCACAGATTTCTGTTTTTATGGTAGTACTTAATTTGCATTTCATAGGTTGATTCCTCTGTCACTGTGGCTGGCAGTCACCAAAGAGGCAGTGTAGAAGACTGCTGTGCAGAAGAAAACAAAGGTGATGACAGAGAGAAATCAGATGTCAAGGAAGTAAGAGCAGATCAGCAAACCTCAGTGGAGAGTACAACACTGCTTCTTCAGAAGTGTATACTGAATGCCCATGAGTTATCAGGTGTGAGAATGACCAAATATCATCTTTTTATACTTTGGGTAACTTCTACTGGTGGCGGGAAGAGGGTGCAAATAGGTAAAATTCCAGAAGAGAAGCAGGTGTCAAAATTCATACCTTCACTTCTCTTCACTGCTTTGTATTCACTGCTTTGAGATTCTGGAGCGTGTTCAGAGAAGAGCCACAAGGATGGTGAGGGCTCTGGAGAACAAGCCTGATGAGGAGCTGTTGAGGGAACTGGGGTTGTTTAGCCTGGAGAAGAGAAGGCTGAGGGGAGACCTCATCACCACCTACAACTACCTCAAGGGAGGTTGTAGAGAGGTGGGTGCTGGTCTCTTCTCCCAGGTGATGGGGGATAGAACAAGGGGAAATGGCACCAAGCTGTGCCAAGGGAGGTTCAGGTTAGAGATAAGGAGGAAGTTCTTTACTGAGAGGGTTGTCAGAGGCTGGAACAGGCTGCCCAGGGAGGTGGTGGAGTCACCATCCCTGGATGTATTTAAGGAGCGGGTAGATGAGGTACTTAAGGATATGGTTTAGTGAGTAGACAGGAACGGTTGGACGTGATGATCTCAGAGGTCTTTTCCAACCAAGTGATTCTGTGATTCTATGATTCTGTGATTCTGTATCCATCTTTGAAGGAAATGTGTTATCGCTGCTGTTACCACTACCACATATGTCTTGTGGCATCTAAGCTGTTACCTGCACCGTGACAATGGCCTAAAAGATCAGAAGGAACCATCTGCGTGTGTTCCATGGAACCGTCTTAGAAAGTGTTTTCCATAGGGTGGTCCACCATCCAAAAGATTGGAAGTTATGGTTGTAAGTTATAGTATTTAACAACTGATCAATGCTAATACTAATAACATACTTTAAATATAAACATGCAGTATCTCATTTTCATGAATGCACGTGTAGAAATGTTATAGATGACATTCTTTTGGCATTCGAGAAATGGTAATTAAGTAACTTTCTAGACCTTCTGACTATTTAAAAATAGATAAGCAAAGGCCAGTATGCAAAGCAGAAGCAGATACCTTCTTCAAGTTTAGATAAGATTTCACGACAGAATTAGGGTCAAAAGAAATCCCTGTGTTTTAATATGAGTCCTGGTGTACATATATACCCTTTTTTAAACAGTAATGCACTGCAGAGGCTCTGTGGTGATATCTAACTGACAGAAATGAACTTGGCTCCTTAATAGTTAACATTTCAAACAGTATCTTTAAATGCTTATTTCACAGCCATCTTATTGTGAAAGGCTTTTTGCTGTGTTTTTCAGGATGTGTCTCTAATTCAGATTCTGGAGGTGATAGCACTGAAACACAGACTTCGAAATTCTGTGAACCTTCCCAAGGAAAACTGCGTAATGCAAATGCAGGTATTACTTTTCAGGTATATAAAGTAAACAGTGCAATAAAATTTTTTTGTTGTTTTTTCCTTTTCTTGTTAATGCTTCTAGAAGAGTTTGGACCATAGTGTATTTGTGTGTATATTATATAGTTATAAAGAAAGATTACAAATTGAAAATGCTTGTGCATTGTGTTATTCCAGAGGCGTTGTATTAAATCTTTATTTAAAGAGTATTTTGTTAAAGGATAATCACTTCAGTGATATGGTAGTATTTGAGTTTTACATTGATTTGGTCTATCTAATACGACAGAATCCAGTGGTGATTCTATCCAGTGCAGCAGTGCTGGTCACCTAACATAGGATTCATTTCATCAGAGCAGAAGTTGGATAGAACTCAACTTCAAAGCTTCATTCAGTAGTTGTGGTTCAAATCCATCTGCTGGGTTCACACCAGTTGAAATAAGTGCTCTTTTTTAATCTCCTGTCCTTGGGGTTTCCCTGGAGCCGAGTTAGATTTTTATAGCTCTCCCCTTGTCGTCTCATCATGTCTTTTTTATCACTCATGTCTTTTTGTGGCATAAAGTAGACCAAGAAAGCATCACAGTAAATGCTTGTGATCAATGTGTAAAGCATTTGACCTCAAAAAATTAGAAAATAAGAAAGTGTTGCAGGAATCCAAGACTTGGAATTCTCTGAAAGAGGGACAGTACTACAAGCGTTTCTTCGACTCTTGCTATGGAAGCTGAGTTTGACCAGAAAAAAGGGCAGAGCATGAGGATACTACAGGAAGGGGAAAGCTAAAAGTGATCAGAAGTTGGAATCTGTATGTTTAGGAAAAAAAGACAATACAGAAATCTATATTAATTAAATAATGGTAGTTTCTATAACGCATCACCATTTCTATTTTTGAAAACATTTTAATGGAACCAGTATCAAAATCTAGTTTGGCTGAGGTGTAAGTCAAGACAAACTTCTGTAACATTTAAAAGTAGAGTTATGATGGAGTCTCTCTTAACTGGAGAATTATTCACTTTAATGAATGACATTTCAACATGTATTTTACTAGTCACCCTGAAGAAATTATTTTTGATTTTTAAGCTTTTTTTTTGTCCGTGATTTTTGCTGATACTGTGGAGATGTTGTCACTCTTCTGTTATAAATTTGAATCTAATCATTTGCCCAAAATGGGGGTTTCTTCCTCCCCCACACCTCCATATCCAGCTGCTACAGCTCAGAGTTTGATTCGGCATTCTGTTACAAAGGCTTTTATATTTTTTCCTGCTACAAACAGGTTTAGAAATGAACATGGTGTATGTGCTTGAGAATAATTGTATTCTTGTCTATGGTCATTATCAAATAACTTGTACTGTTTTAAGGAATTTTTGTTAAGTTGCAATGCTTCAAGTTGACAGTAATTTTAAATCTGTTTTACAGCAAACTCTTCCAACTTGCAAGTTTCTCTAGAAACAGATGTAGTTCTTCAGATTCAAGCAGCTATAAAGATAATGAATAAGCGTGACACAATATTAGCAAAAAAACATTCTGAGGAGAGAGCAATTAAAAAACAAGGCAAAGAAATTAGGGCAAAGCTCTGGAAAGAACTTCAGGTTTGAAGTATTCTGCTTATTTTGGAAATAGTACTGTCTTACAGATTTATCATGTTTCTTGGATGTGTTTTTCATTAAATAACTTCCAGTTGGCATATTAAAGTGAAGAAATTGATCTTAAAATATATATTTGAATAGGTTTTAATATGTATTGGCTAGGCAGGCTTTGAAAGAAGGCCATGGTCCTTAAAAATTGGTATGACCAATAGACAAATATACAGCTGTCTAGGTGGGATTTACTGGTATAGTCCTATGCTTGAGCTCAGTACTTCCAGGTGTAACAAGGTATAACAAGAGGTAATGTCTGTGAACCCGGACCTAAAAGTGTTTATTCTGCTCTACTGAGACTGTTCTTGGGTCCATCTATTTCAGTGCTGTCTGTTAGTGAAGAAATTAGATATGCCCCCTGAAGAAGGCAGGAGAACGTTACAGCAAAAATTCCTTCACATTATTCCTATCCTGGTCTGTAGCAGTCAAATGTCACTTTAAGCCTTGAAGAGTGAGATTTAGTATTTCCTCTGAGGTTAAGAATTGTATAAATGAATATGAATGTCAGTTGCTAAAAAGACATGATTGCAGTTAGTTTGAGTGCATCTCATAATTTCAATGGATTTGGATTGAGAGCCATATATGTATAACAGAACTTCTGTATCTTGTGAAAAGTGTCTTCATGTAAGAAACAGTGTATAACGAGGCTTCAAAGTTCCACCATGCCTTCATCATAACTTTAGGAGATGTTCAGATAGCCTCAAGAAGAAAACAAAGCCATAAGTAAATGTTGCCACTGAACAAGGAATTTTTAATAGGGTCTGAAGTTTGGTATATCTTCTAGGCAGATAATGTATTTTACTTAAAGTATTTAATTTAAAGTAAATATATGCATGGATCTGTATTTTTATGCTTCATTTCTTTTGAATAGTCTATCAGTACCACTAGAAGCCATGAAGAGAGAGAAAACACAAAATGTTTTTTAGCTTTGATCTCATCATGGCAGGATACAGCTGGTGAGTGAGAAAGAGAAGAAAACACCCTGATGGGATTATCCCGTATTTTGCTTAATGTTCATATTTTTATCAGATACTATAAAAATAAAGCATCCAAACCTTTACAGAAATAGTATTTGCATGTGAAAGTACATCAAGGGTATATTTGAAACATTAACTGAAATAATTTTTCAGTTCTCACGAATGTAGAAGTTGTCCCATGCTGTCCAGAGAAGTGGCTGAGTCACCATCCTTCACTGTATTTAAAAGCCATCTAGATATGGTGCTTAAGAACACGGTTTAGAAGTGGGCATGATAGAGTTAGGTAACAGTTGGACTTGGTGATCTTAAAGGTCTTTTCTAACCATAATGGTTCTGTGATTCTATGATAATAATTGTAGCAGTGTGTGGTTAAAACATTTCAACAGTACTTATTATTACAAGGTAACTGACTTCTGTTTCTATGCTTTCTTGGGTTATTAAGGAAAGTACACAGAGTTTGACACGGGTGATATTTAAAAAGTCTCCAGTAGATGTCAGGACATAGTAAAAAAACAGTGGGCAAGCAAGGCTATGTGGTTTTCATGAACTTCGTGTTTCAGTTTCCTCTTGTTTCAAAGGTAACCCCTTGCTGTGTAGATTATGTGCATCACATAGGTTCTGGTGTACCATACTGGCAAAATTCTGCATAGTTTAGACTTATATCAAAGATATAAATATTAAATATCAACCTTGATCTTTTATCTTGAATTTTCTGTGTCATGCTGGTGCCTGACTTTCCAGGTCTTGTTTCTTTATTTATATGAGTGCTCTGATAGCTGCTCTGGTTGATACTGAAATGGAGTGCAATTAATGTATTTTGCTTTCCAGAGCATGAATTTGATAAAGAGCTTTATTATATAAATTATATAGGGGAGCTATTTAATGATAGCTTTTATTGTGGCTGTGAAATCAAACACAAGTTTCGAATACAAAATAATTACTAACTTAAGTGTCCCAGTCTTTCAGGAGCAAGAAAACCTCTGACACACTCATGGCAGAAAGGCAAATCAGGAGTTAGTTAAACAGCCTTATATTAATTTCCCTCTATTCTGTGTAACAAAATCATACTTTCAGTTGAGTCTATTAAACTTTATTACAGGATGTTTGATTCTTTTTCATTTTGTGAAAAACACATTTTTCATATATGATATATATGTTTCTTTGCAATACAAGTCCTTTTCTGTAAGTGCTAAGTGTATGGACTGCATGTTAATGCTTTAACTTATACTTTCAGTTGGTATACGTCAACATCATGACCGACATTTTCTTTGAGTAGCTGAAAAAACTCCTGCATGCTAGGATGTTTGGTTTTTTCCTAGACTATACCCTTGACCTAAGCCACTTGGAAGTCTCATAACTGATGCATAGGCAGACACCAGCTGTGAAAACCTGAATACTTCATTCTCATGCAAAGTTCTAGATGGCTTGCTACATGGTGTCTGCAGAGGCTCTTGAAATTTAGGGCCTTGAGCTCTGTCTTCTAGAATGTAATTATTTTTTCTGTATGAGCAGCAGTTAAAACCAAAAACACAGCCATATGAAACTGTGGAATATTGGAATATTGTGTCCAGTTCTGGGCCCCTCAGTTCAAGAAGGACAGAGAGTTGCTTGAAAGAGTCCAGCGCAGAGCCACAAGGATGATCGAGGGAGTGGAGCATCTCCCTTATGAGGAGCGGCTGAGGGAGCTGGGGCTCTTGAGCTTGGAGAAGAGGAGACTGAGGGGTGACCTCATTCCTGGTTATAAATTTGTAAAGGGTGAGTGTCAGGAGGAAGGAGCCAGGCTCTGCTCTGTGATGTCCAATGACAGGACAAGGGGCAATGGGAGCAAGCTGGAGCATAGGAGGTTCAGCCTGAACATAAGGGAAAACTTTTTCACTGTGAGGGTGACAGAGCATGGTGCAGGCTGCCCAGAGAGGTTGTGGGGTCTCCTTCTCTGCAGACATTCAAAACCCGCCTGGCCGTGTTCCTGTGTGACCTGCTCTGGTGATCCTCCTCTGGCAGGGGTTGGACTGGATGAGCTTTCGAGGTCCCTTCCAACTCCTGAGATTCTGTGATTCTGTGAAACAACATAATTATTCATGAGACATACCTTACACCTTCCCTCCATTCTTTATGTCTTGAGAAATATGGTGGTTACGCAACTTAGCCAAGTAAATTTCTTTAACTTTCATGTGTGAGATCTTATAGTATGATGTACATTAAACTAGATCTTCTTTAAATACTTTTCAATTACATTTTACTGAAAAAAATTACTTTCATGCTAAAGACAATGAAATATGTACTTCAGTATTTCACACACAAATTAATCCAGAAGATTATGGTTGCCATAAAACCCAACATAATCAAGGTAAGCTTTATTAATTGTGTTCTTTGTATTTATAGATATGGCAAAGCAACATGCACAATGGGTGGGTGATGAAGGCTTGGGCTTTGTGGCTATGCCAATGAAATCAGAAAGAGCAAGGTTGCTTAGTGGAATGGCAACAGTTATTATTTTACGAATTATAAAAGAATCATTTTGCTTGTGACTTATCTAAAACATTTTACTCATGCTGAGAAAATTTTTACTTTTGAGTTTATAAAACCTTTTTTCTTTCATTGAAAAATGATGGGGTATGTAACCAGTTAATTGTAAAATGTATAATTGGTTCTTCATGGAAAATTCTTTAAGAACTTGTCTTTGCTATTATTCTAAGGTACTGTAACTTTCATTAATAATTTCATTCTTATATTGAAGAAACCATCTAAAAATGAAGAGTGAGGCTGTATACAGTTTCAACTGTTCTGTAATTTGTTTTCAAAAGAAATTATATGGATGCTGTGACAAACCTAAATCTTAAGACAACTGATTTTCTATTTTATTATGCTGGTTATTGTAAAGGCTTCATTGCTTTTATAGATTAAGCACTTTCTGTCAAAAATGAAACATTTATGCTGATTCTTTGAAATGTCACTTGTTTAGGTGCACTGTATAGAGGTTTCAAATGCTGATAGCAGTGCAGTGTGTCCAACACTTCAAAATGGAATTGTGCTTCTGTGCCTCTCTTCTTTTCCTATTTGAAATTCAAATTTGTATGGTTGAGTAACTTCTCATATGTGTTGTGACACAAGAAGAGAGCTTCAGCTGCCATTGCTATCAGCTGCGATTTATTTCTTCATCTTCTACCTTTCTATGTAAACAGGAGGAATCTATCTTTCTGGTGACTGGCTAGGATGACAAGGACATAATCAATGAGTGTTCCTCTAGGTTGAACTGCTGATGGCAGCAGAATTCTGCACTTGTTAGAATGTGACTTTATGGTTTAATTTCTAACCCTGGACCTCAGCTCCCTTATAATTTTATCACTTGCCTTAGTCCACCAGTATGTGACCTTAACTGTGTTATTAAATGTTTCTTCACACTGAGTCGGAGCAGTGTTGTGCTTTTGATTTCTTTGTCTTCCTAACATGTGTCTTAGTTCCTCCTTTAAAATGACAATTGACTCTTAGCTTTCACTTTCACAATTTCTGAGTTAGGCTGGAGTGTCCTTGAACACCAATGGCAGGTTTCGTTACCAATACTCAGGACAGCAGTGACTTTTGAAGCTCCCAGTACAGGCATGGTTCGGAGTTGCTGTTGCTTGGACTATTTTGAGATGTTCTACGTTTTCCGAGTTTGGAAACACATGAGATAGAAATAACTTACAACTTACAAGCAACGAATTTCTTAAATGACTTTTACTATTTGTGCTGGAAGCATTTGATATGGTTTCTGAATAGCTAAGACTTAGAGTTTTGGTTACTTTGGGATTTCTGTGTAAGAGTTGTTATAAAGGCAGACCCTGAACAAGAGGAGCATAACTTGTGAATAAGAATATGCATTAGTTTTACAATGTTGCTTTAGCAATCTCATCAAGACTTGTGCCAAATCTTTGAAATTCATACCAAATCGACCAGAACTCATATGCAAAATTTGTTGAGCTGCAGTCTTTTATTTGCCTATGGCAATCTTCAGTGTATTCATTGTCCCAGTGATCTACGTCAGTCCCTTCTTCACTTGAATGTTCTGAGATGTTCTGTATGATAGCTCCCTCTCAAAAATGCTTTTTCTGCAATTAAAGATGTAGCTTGTAATGTTTCATAGGTGTTGCATTTTATGTTGGTGTTTGGTGTGTTTTGCTCATTTCGAGATACGACTTGTCATTGATTTTGTATTAAATTCTTACATGGTCCAGTTCTTTGATAGTTTCAAAACGTTAACTGGTAGTGTTAAAAATAGTTTGGGATGCTTTCAGTCAACGGTTGTGCATCTGAACTGTGACAGGGTTTTCTTGGTCAGATCCAACCCTTCAATCCTTTAAGGTTTACTTGTAGTTTGAGAGTAAGTCTGACTGGTGAGAATGCTGCATGTTTTTTTTAGTCCATAGTGTGTAAAAGGATGCACGGAATTTATTTCATCTCTTTGGGAGTTTGTTTTCAATCTACTCACTCTGAAAAAGAGTTTTTTCTATGTAAACTTTCATAGCCTACCTTCTACTGTCTAACATGTTAAATTGTTTTGGGTTTTTGTTGTAAGGAAGTAGCCCACCCACTTTTCAAGTCTCTACTTTCCAGAAATAAAAAAATACTATGCCTAATTTTAAAGTAGTTTTTGAGACTAAGAAGTTGGTTATATTTGATGTTTTAAAACTGTTTAAAATATCTGAAAAACAGAATATGTGTATTTTTGTATGATGGATAGAAACATTGGAAAAAACCATACATCTGATGCTGTCAGTGTCATGGGGCTGTTTAATCGCTTTCCAACTCTGTGATGAGTTTTCTTTTTAAACAAAATGTGTTTTATAAGCTGTGTTATAAAAATATCAACTATATCATCTGGTTTTCGGCTGGTTTATTTTAAAAAATGTACTTGCTATGTCTCCAAATAGTTCTGTGGTTTTCAAACAAATTATTGTCTGGTTTTGTACTGATGATAAAACTGAAACGATGATAGCGTTCGTAGGAATGCCATGGCTTTTAGAGCCGCCATGGTTGACATTTTTGAGGTCAGAAATCTCAAAGTACTTTACCCTTCACAACATTGAATGATCCCATATAATATAAGTTTAAAAATGAGATTAGATTTTGACAATAGTTATGTTTTAAACAGAGTAATATAGCTTACAGAAAGAATGAATAACTTTATATGTTAGTTAAAAATTTAAATGAGATTGCTGTTATTACAGCTCTCGTTGGTTCAGAAAAGGAATGATCGTAACTTGGTAACTTTTCTTCCTCAAACTTCAGATTCTCCAAGTGAATTAGAAACAAATGCATTTCTTAATCAAGCAGAAAAAACACATAGCAGAAGTAAAAACAATCAGGATTTCATTAAAAAGAACACTGAGGTAAGCATTAAAGCATAAAATCAACATTTTATTAGATGATAACTAGAAATAGTATATAAGTACTTCTGGACAGTCGGGTTTTTTATCAGAAACATTAAAAGCTAATTAGGCATAAATGAAAACATCTTGCTGTTAGGAAGTGTTGTTTATGACAAAGTACTGTATAAATAAGTTCTTCTCTTGGATGCTCATATTGGTGGGATCGTACTGCTTCTGTGCATGTGCTAAATACTGGAAACAGAATTGTTCTGTTTGTGCTGGTTTTGAGGGCAAATATTTCCTAAGGTTTTCTTTAAGTGTATTTACTGTTAAGTTAAATGAAAATGTTCTTAGGCATAGATAAGGGATAGGTATGCAGGTTGTTCACTTATAGCCTGCATGAGACCCTTATTTACAGAAGACTTTTTTCTGTCAGAAAATAGATGCCTTGATTTCTCATGCTTTTTTCCTGTCAGGATTTAGTATCTAAAATTATTTTTCATCCAGTGAAAAATATCTTTCTCCCTCCCACCCTGCAACATCAAAGACTGTTACAAGATTATCAATTTATTCTATATAGACCGCTAGATTTTTCTGTCAGAGTGATAATTTTTATTATGGCAATAAGTAAGATTTGAATGTTAAATTCACAGAGTTTAAAAACTTTGGTTTGGTGCTGTTTGAGCTAATGGAATTTGAAAGTTTATTTTTTCTTTTTGTAAATATTTCAGCTAGCAAAGGATTCAGGAAACCAGATTGTTATGCTTGAGAGGGAAAGGAAAAGGATAATTGAACTATTGAAAGATACAGAAGGTGGAAGTGAACTGAAAGCTCTTGAGGTATGGCAGCTTTAATTTGTTCTGTCCTGTTGTATTTGGCTTATTTTTACAGTAAATCAAAATTTGATTTGGTTTCAGTCCTACCATAAACTGAGATGAGAAAAAAGCTGGACAAATCAAACTGACTTTGTCTCCAAGAATGAATTTTCATTGGCTTCTTTGTTCATCTTACTGACACATGCCTGGCCTCAGAAGAACAGCGGAACTTAAAAGAAAAGTTAGACGTGGGTGGAAGGAGCCTTAGAAGCACGCTCAGAGAAGATGAACAACCTATTTTTGCTGCATAAAACGTGAAGCTGTGGCCTGTCAATCTGAGTGGCGAGTTCTGTAGTCTCTGGTAGAAGGACCAGCAACTACTGTAAAAAAGAATGTCCAGCAGTTTTTTTGCAGACATGAACTTCAGAATGCAGCAACTGGGGAAATAAACATTTATGAGGCTTATGTGTCCATTTAGCAAGATAACATGACAACTTTGCATGGCTTACAATTCACTCTCTCTTAAGAGTATATGGAGGGGCCAAAGTCTACTTACGTATTGGACATTTATGCTTTAATGATATTGTTAAAGAACGTGCAGTCTGCATACTGCAGTGGATAGCAAGAGCTAAAAACTATGTAAACTGGACATAATGCTTCAAGAACCTGCGTTTTAATACATAAGAAGAAGTACCTGGAAAATGCTTGCTTTGTGTAAAGAAATTAGGTGACCTTTCTAATTTGTTTTACGTTAAAATGTACATTATTTTAAGTCTGTGGTAATGTTGAACTTTTCACAACATTTGTAAGTGTACACTGAATCACAGTGCCTCAGAAGAACGATGTGAACTTTGTGTGGAATGAACAAAATATATTCAGGGTTTATAGAGCTAAAAATGATCTGGAGTAAATTATTTTTTCAGTAGGTTAAATAAAAACTTCGGTGTGAGAGAAAGAAAGGAAAGCAAAAGCAAAGTATTACTTTTAAAATTCTCCCTTTCTATATTTTACTTTGAGCTTTTTTCTAATGAAGTGGTGAAGACATCCAAGAAGTGATGCCTTTCATTACTCTTTTCTAAAATGTGTCTAAAATCCATCTTTATAAATGACTGTTTCAGTATATGGGGTAAGGAAGTGAGCTCAGGACTTTCTTCATCGGAAGCCAGACTGGTTATGGAAACAGAGAACCAACCTACCCATGAGTTGTGAATGTAAACAGGTCTGTAATTTACACAACTTCAGTATGATTTCTAGGTTGAAACTAATTTGATCTGTAGTCCAAAACTTTCCTCTTTATTCTAGGGAAACTAGTAAACATACACTATGCTTTAGCCTTTTCAGAGCTTTGTGGGGCAAATACAAGCGAAGGAGTCTGTGTCAGTTAGGAAAATGGACAAATGACTAAGATTACATAAATGTGCAGTATTTTAACAGTAGCTGTTCTTTCACAGTTAATAAACTAAAGTAGAAGCACAGAAAACATAACCTTTGCTGACCATTGATATGCAAAGGTTTGGAACTATTGGCCACACTTGGTGCTTGCATTCATGAAATGAAAAGCTGACTTCTGTAAAATTGCACCAGTCTTCCCCTTGATCTGACAATTGTTCCCTTGCTTTACATAGAAAGCTTATTTAATTTTTTTAATATTATCACTGAGCTTGCTGATTGACTTAATCTGTGTAAAATACTCATCAGTTAATGACATTGCACAGAAGTGCTTGACTTACCTGACATAGTTTAGCGTTAAAAAGATGCAGTGACAGATTCTTTGATCTAGTGTTGATATACTGGGCAAGGGAGTTGAGTTAGAAGAACAAAGCCAAAGCTCACTGGATCATTATTTAATCGATCTTTTGTCTG